AAAAAAAATTACAGTCCTACCAAAAAAAAAAAAAGTTCACATTCAGTACAACTTTGCAAGTCATGTCCATGATTAGCTGTACTTTTGAAAATATCCCTTTAATTGAGCTTATGTGATCAAAACTCAGTATCAGCCTCAGATCATTTTGGTGTGCTGTGCCTTTTTGAATAAATTTCTATATAAAATTCATAGCTTTATAAAATGTTTAAATACATCTGTATGTGTGTGTGGATTATGTCATTCATCCATTCTTCCAATGAACAAATATTTTTGAACTCCTATGATGTTCCAGGCCTACTTCTAAGTGCTTGGGACACAGTAGTGAACAAAATAGACAAATTTGCTGCCACATGGTGCTTACATTCTATTGGAGAGAAAGACAGCAAACAAACAAATAAATATATAATTCCCTGTCAGAGTTGGAAGAATTCTGACAACTTTAAAGCCTCTGTGAAATATATAATAGGAAGATTGCTTGACTTAACACAATTGCTTCATTTAACATGGTTTCCAGGTCCATCCGTGTTGCTGCAAATGATAGGATATCATTTTTTTTAATAGATGATAGTATTCCATTTTGTATATATACCACAGTAAATCAGGCACAAAAAGACAAATACTGCATGATAACACTCATGTACTCATATGTGTAATCTAGCAAAAAAAAGTAATTCTCATAGAAGTAGAGAGTAGAATAATGGTTATATAATAATGGTTAATAAGGTGGGGGAGGAGGAGAAAAAGTGGCAGACAAATGGGTACAAAACTATGCTACCTACTCTAAATGAATTATTATGCAGTATATGCATGTACTGAAGCAACATATTGTGTGAAACAACATATTGTACCTCAAAAATAAGTACAAGTAAATGTTAAAATATTTTGAATAATAATAAAAGAAAAAAAATATTTTGAATAAAAGGAATTTTAAAAAAGAGAAAGACTGCTTGAAAACATATTTCATAAGTTTTCTTTTTTAAGTAAACTTTTTATAAACACAAGGAAGAAAATCAAGTCACCTTGGCAAAAAGAAAATTTACCTATAACCTCATCATACTATCCTATGACCTTACCTACTTGATATTTGGGGGTGCGGGGGTTAGGGATAGGCTGTATTTGTATCCTGCTTTACTTCACTTACCGTTTTGCAAGCATTTTTCTTTGTCTTTAAATAGTCTTCCAGAGGAAGTTTTCACGAATATTATAGCCTGTATACAAAAAATTTAATGTTCTCATTAATTTTTGACAATTTCTATGATCATAAATGAAATTTACATACATAAATCGTTGCCTGCATATCTAAATACATCCGCAGCATAAGGTGTTAGAAGTGGAATTATTAGGTCTAAATGCCATGCATATTTTATGACACTTGATGTATGTTGTGAAATAGATCTGTAGAAAGATTACACTTTCTCACTATTATCTTAACAATATGAGATATTACGTGGATTTAAAATCTCAGCCAAAACTACATCTCGGTGCTATTACAAACTACATATTTCTGTTTACTGGTGAGGTTGATTTTTTTAAAAACTGTGTTTTTTATGCGTTCCCTTTTCTTCTACGAATTCTTTGCCATATGCCCTTCTTCCTTTTTTCTATGAGGCTGTTAGCATTTTTATTTTGATTTATGAGATATTTTGTGTATGAAACATTTGTTGAAATTTTTTCTAAGTGGTAATTTATATTTACATTTTTGGTGTTTTGACATTCAGAAGTATTTTTATGCACTCAAACTTATTGATCTTTTTCTTTCTGATTTCTTCTATTCCTCTTGTGCTTAGAAAGTCTTCCCTATTCTGAGGTCAGTAAAATATTTATTATGTTCTCCTAGTCACTTTTTAAAATTTTCCTTTTTTTTTTATTGAGCTATTTCATCTATGTAGAATTTATTTTGGTGAGATGAGGCTTTAATTTGTTAATTAAAACTAAAGCATTTTCAAATAGTTCATTTTCTTAACACTATTTGTTAATAAAATAATGCATAATGCATCCTTTTCCCCATAGGTCTGTGATACTTTCTCGTCTGTCAAATTTATACACGTACCCCCCCACCCCCCACCCCATACACACACACTGGTCTGTGCGTTTCAGAGCTTGCATTAATACGTTTGAAATATTCTGTTTTTAAGGTTGTGTGGGAAGTGATAGTTCCGGTACTTTTTGTCCCAGATGTTAACAAAATTACAATTCTCGGTACTGTCTTGACGGAACGGGGGCGAGCAAGGGTACGGAGGCATTTAGGACCCAGGGGAAAGCCAGGCTCGGTATAGAAGGACAGAGTCTCAGGCGCACACGCCTCCTACCAAAATCACAGCCCCGTGGAGCCCGGGCTCTCATTCACAGCTTTCTAGAGAAATCTGAGCCCGAACCTGCCAGAATAGGGGATCTCACCCACCCAGTTCAGCAGAGAAGACACCTGCAGAAACACATGCCCAAAGCAAGGCTGGGCAGCCGTGTGAAGGTATTTGTTGCCTTTTTTCTCCCTTCTGTATTTGCAGCGCCTCCCCGCCTTTCCCCCGCTCCTGCGATTGCATAGCTGCGGCGTTTCAGCACTCCGGTGCGTGGACAGCTCCCATCTGCAATCTCTCCGCACCCCATCCCTCCCGCACCCATCTCCACTGTCTCCGCGGTCCGTCCTTCTCCCGGCACCCACTCAAGCTGCGCTCCCTTACACCATCAGCACCCCCATCTCCACCATCACCGTCATCATCTCCACCATCACCAGCGCGGTAACTACCGTCAACACAACTGTGTCTTGCCACTTAGACAAAGCCCGAGGTCCGCAGGGTAGGGAAAAAAGAGCTCAAGTTTACAGCCATAGGAAGGAAAGTTCAGGTGAACGACACCCCTGAAAACAAAGAGATGCCTGCTTGAGAGAAAGGGAAAGTGGAGGCAGGAGGGAGAGACCCCAGGCACAGGTACAGATGGGGCACTTGCCAGACACCAGCAGTTAGCCAGCTGCCTTTCAGCAGATTAGGGACTGTTTAGTTCAGGAAATTAACATGGCCTGAGGCACAGTGTGATTCTAGAAAGGAAAAAAAAAAAAAAAAAAAAAAAAAAAAAAA